GGGGGGTCATCGACGTGTGATGTCACTTTCAAGAACTGTAGACCAATCAGAATTTAAATGCCCTTTCAAATTCTACAGTGCCAATGGAGGCTCTGACTGCTGATGTTCAAGCAGTTGTCTCTGCACTGGCTGAAGCTGATAAGGAGTTGATTGCCACTGGACCTGAAGCCCCTCAACGTCTTGTCAACTTCATCCGCGAGCAGTCACCTCGTGTCGCCGAACTTCAAACTAAGGCTGAGACAGCTCGCAATATCTTCTCTCAAACTACCGAATGGTTTGGCGAAGCTTTGAATAAACCTTCACCTGAGACATTCTTCACCTGCGTTGTCAAGTTCATTCAACAGTTCAAGGTATGATTTTGTTTGTATAAACACTAGTTCGAGTTGTGGTTCATTGTTTGTTAACTTCATGTTAACAGAGCATTCTTTAAAGATTGATTTAGGAAAAATGAGTAGCAGCATTGTGGGTTTGAGATGGATGTTAGATAAAATTTAAACTAGATAAATTTGATCCTTTATTTTTAGAAAGTACAAACCGAGTTGGAGAAACGGCGACTTGCTGAGCAGACAATGGCTATGCGTAAGCAATCAGGAACTTGCCTCCATAATGGGAAAATGTCCTCCTATGGTGTTCCTGGTACTAATGTCAATGCAACACCTTCACGACAACGCAGCTCCAAGGACGTGAGTCTCATTTTTTTAACTCCATTGTTGATCGTTATAATTATTGCTAGATCTTCTACTTATAAAATATCGACAGAAATTGGGGTAGCGATAGGCGCGCTTCCCTATTGGATATCGAATTTACTGGGTTTGCTTATTTCTAATTCCACAGCAAGTACATGCTCGATCTCATATGCACAAAGCACTTGCATCGGCACTCAGGTGATTTTCTGCTTCTCGTTTTTCTAGAGTCATGGTCACTTAATTTGATTTTCTTTTTACGAACATATTTTGGCTCCTTGCAGACTTTTGGAAAATCAATTAAATCTTTGTTAGTAGTAGTATTAGTATCAAATTGTCATTGCTTAGATGGATATGGTAGCGATTATCAAATACGAAAGTAAATGCACTCGGTATTAAAGCGAGGTTTGAATACAGCTATGCTTTCCTACAATTTATTGTGAAGGTTATTGTGGACTTTGGCTTTGTGGCAGGTATATAATCTCTCCTTCTAATATGAGTTAGCTCACAATCTACATTGGTCTCAATAAATGAAATTTTATTTTTCTTCTTTATCGTGACAATTATATGCCCCCACGATTATTGATTTGTTTTATTATTTGCTAAATGTAAATATCCCCATTTATTTATCAGGAAGATGACCCAGCGGACTTACAGGTTGGTTGTTTTGGTTGTTCTTTTCAATCTTGTTTCCCCATACCCCGTAAATAGGGTTTGGTGTTTATTTCACCCAAAAACGGCGACCTAAAATTTGGTTCTGATTGCTAAATTAATTATTATTGATTCGCTGAAATTAGCTGCTTAATTAATTTTTCTCAATCCTTTTTGTGTGCGTGCGTGTGTGCGTGTGCTTATCCCTAACTTTAGTTTTGCTGTACTAATATCTTACTTAAATCAAATAAGTAGGAGTTTGTATTCATTATTTGTCTCATTTAGCGAGCTTTGGCTCAGGAGGCCCGGCTAGCTAAACGCCGCATCCAAAATCGAACGCGCCAAATCAACGGGGATGGTATGATGGATGAAATCCTAGCAGGTAATTGATCCGCCCTTTCTACATTTATCTGGCAATGTGTTTCGAATGGTTTGGTATTAGTAAAAAATTATGAACTATACTTAGTTAACATAAGTAGAACTTTCACTTTCTCATTATTAATGTAGGAATTGAAACTCCGAAACTTTTTGTAAGATTCTTAATTTACGAATAACCACGACATTGGGTTATTGAATTGTAAATCGAAGTGATTAACATTTAATGCGCTCCACTAACTCCTATTTTTTCATTTTTCTCTTTTATTTCGTACGACCTGAACAACAATTGCAACTGGGTTTATTTGTTGTCCCTCCCCCCACACAGTCCTCTTCCCTCTCTCTTTGTTGGTGTTCATTTAGAGAGATGCAAATTTCCTACTAGATGTTTTATTTAATTGGACGGTATTGGGTTTATTTCCTTGATTCTGTTGATAACTCGATTCCTTACAAACACTCCTATTTTCTCTCGCCCCCATCCCTCGGGAACCTTAAATAAATAAATGGTCCTGTTTTCTCGATGATATGTGTTATTCGTAAAAGCGGCTTGGAGCTCTGATAGGCGACAATAAATCTGTATTGTGATATTGAGGAGGCGGGGCGCCAAGATAGAATTAGAGACGACGTACCTCTTCAAGACGGTGGTAGACGATATGCAAGTTAGGTGAGAACCGAGACAAGATCTGGAAGGTAATGCCCTCCCCTAATTTTAAGTTAATTTAGGCTTAGGAATGTAAGCAGTGATATCATTTTATTTGCTTCAAAAGAAGTATTTTAATGCTGCGCTATGCCTTTTTGGTATGCTTTAGCCAATTCGGTGGTAACTGACTCCGTTTTGTTTTCATATCTCACTTCCATTTTCTGAGAGTTTAAATTTTCCCTTTGTAGTCTTGTAAGTCAACTCCCACTGGTATTACTGGAGACCTTATAGTGGTACAAGTGGAGTTAGTTAATGTTCCAGTGAAAAAAATGTGACTGTTTTTATCCGCATGTATAGCTATAAGCACCATAGTTGTCAAATAGAGAGGAAGGTAGTATGTTGCAATTTCCTTATTGAAGAAGTTGGGTATCGTGCCCGAATTACGATTCGCACTACTTTGGCGTGAGTGCTTTGGAGTTCCTTGAAAAGTTGAGTTCTGCTCAAGAAAATAGTGGTTCATTTGGATTTGCTTTATAATGTAAGATTTCAATTCTTTTGTAGTTTCACGGTTATAAATCAGCTCTAATTCTTTCGACGCCAGAAGCAAGTTTGTATTTGAAGTTGAACAGGATTTAAAGATTGGCGGTTATATTGCTATTTTCCTTATTTTTACATTGCATTTGGTTAGTTTAAACAAGGATTTACTTATTGAGTTGTTAGTGCTTAGAACTCAGATTTAAGCTGTTTTTTCCTAATTTTGGTCTAATTATTTATGAAGTTGTCAAAAGCGTTAATTGTTCTCATAGTAAGTGTTCTCTCATACAATTAAAATGTGTATTAGTTCTCATAGATCTGCGTGGTCGGTTGCGGGAATGGGGAATAACTTAACATCAGACTTAACGCGTTTTGAGCTCTTTTTTTTGTTTTGACAAATAATGAGGAGGAGGGGGGGGGGGTTCCTATTGAATTATATAGTGGCCTATTTTGTTCTGCAGCTCTTGGATCGAAGCCCCTCCAAGCAGAAGTCCATCCACGAAGGAGTCATTTCAACAACACAAACTCCAGTAACAATGGCTCTTCCGACTACATACCGTGAGATATTTTAGTATCACCCTCCCCCAGACCTTTGCGTGGACAATCCCCTGCCACCTTGACAACTGACAATTGTTTGCGTTTGTCACCCCGGTTTGAAAGCCCCCCGCCCCATTCCCTAATTTTACTCTAATTTGGTACTCTGTTTCGAATTATTGGCTATCCAATTACTTTGCTCCATTCCTCTTCTGACCTGTATTATTTCCCCATTCTTTTCTCCTGCTTTTTTTCGCGGTCTGCATTCGAAACCCCCCTTTCTCTCCACCCCACCCCACCCCACAATTCCCATTTCTTTTAGAAAAAAAAACAAATGATTTATTTGAATAGGTCGAAGTAAATATATTTACATTTGGTTTTGGAGATTTATGCAACGTGTTGTTGGCATGTGAGTTGGGTTCCTTACGGACTGACTTGGAGCCTCAATGCTTTTTCTATTTGCATTGCATGATTATGCCACAGGGATGATGCCAAACAATGAGCGCGAAGTTGCTATAATTGTTGCTAAGGNAGGGGGGGGGGGGGGGGACAATTTTTACTCAGTTTTCAAAATAAGTCTTAATTTTGCGCCTTATTTTAAAATAACTGAAGGCAATGAGGTCTCTATATGCTGATCCACATAAAGATGGCGGGCTTTATGATGGTTACCATTAGCCCGTTAGTTGGCTTCGGGCCTCACAGAGTTGAGGGGGGAACGGAAGAGTGTTTCCAAAGATGTAAAAGAGAGACAGACGCAGAGGTAGAGAAAAAGGTAAGGTTAGTATCGTGGAAGTGGTGGAATATGACATACAGTGGGGTGATGGTAGTTTGAAGTGAGAAGTCAACTGCCGGTTAATAGACTTTTTGACATATTATATTCGAATATGGCATAGAGTGAGGTGATGGTAGTTTGAGAGGTCGAATATGACATACAGTGGGGTGATGGTAGTTTGAAGGATGTCGAATATGACATACAGTGGGGTGATGGTAGTTTGAAGTGAGAAATATGACATACAGTGGGGTCATGGTAGTTTGAAGTCAGAGGTCAACTGCCGGTTTATAGACTTTTTGCCGTGTTAGGGTTAGATCAACTGCCGGTTTATAGACTTTTTTGCCGTATGCGCATACACAGGTTAATAGACTTTTTTGCCGTATGAGTATACGGTGCCCAGGGTGCACCACGTGGAGGTAAGTCTAAATATACATTGCCCAGGGTGCACCACGGAGGTAAGCCGAATGAGAATACGTTGCCCAGGGTGCACCACGTGGAGGTAAGGTGTAGTATACATTGCCCAGGGTGCGCCACGTGGAGGTAAGACCGTATGATTATACGTTGGCCAGGGTGCACCACGTGGAGGCCGTATGTACCTTTTGCGGTATGAGTATACATTGCCCAGGGTGCACCACGTGGAGGTAGCCGAATGAGAATACGTTGCCCAGGGTGCACCACGTGGAGGTAAGGTGTAGTATACATTGCCCAGGGTGCGCCACGTGGAGGTAAGACCGTATGATTATACGTTGGCCAGGGTGCACCACGTGGAGGTACCTTTTGCCATATGTGGATACGTTGCCCAGGGTGCACCACGTGGAGGTAAGTCTAAATATACATTGCCCAGGGTGCACCACGGAGGTAAGCCGAATGAGAATACGTTGCCCAGGGTGCACCACGTGGAGGTAAGGTGTAGTATACATTGCCCAGGGTGCGCCACGTGGAGGTAAGACCGTATGATTATACGTTGGCCAGGGTGCACCACGTGGAGGCCGTATGTACCTTTTGCCATATGTGGATACGTTGCCCAGGGTGCACCACGTGTATACGTTGCCCAGGGTGCACCAGTTTTTGCCGTATGAATATACGTTGCCCAGGGTGCACCACGTGATAGACTTACTTGCCGTATGAGTACACGTTGCCCAGGGTGCACCACGTGGTGCCGTATGAGTATACGTTGCCCAGGGTGCACCACGTGGAAGTAAGGTTTGGATGTTCCAAATTGCAGGTTATTGAGTGGGTTAATGACCGTTTTGTTTATGGCTTATCACTCGGTGGTTTCCCACACAATGCTGGCAAGGCACTTTCTGTATAATACCGATTGCAGTGGTATTGGCATGAATCTCGTAGTTGCAGGGTTGTCATTTTGTTCCATTAACCTATCGTGGACACACGTTAGAACACGGAGCCGTTGAGTCCATCCAAAAGCATAGGCATACAACCTAATTCCAAATTTGAACTCTTTAACGGACTTCTATTCAAGTGCTTTACTGAACATCTTTTCTTTAATTTGGGCCTTATTAATATCCACAATTTCCGATACGCATCAATGATTGGAAATTTCTTTTTTTCGTTTTTGCCTGATTTAAATTTTAAAAATCCTCAGATTAGCAAATCTCCTTTTAGACTCACTCAAACGAAAGACAGATACGCGGTATTCAACTTCGTATTTCATGACATATTTACATAATAAGGTAAAAACGACAAGCTTAAGGCAATATCTTCTGGAATATTTTTTCATTTTTCTAACCGTAAATTAGTATCGAAAAAAAACAAATTTCTCTCTTCGTGCGTCTTTTGACTAATGCCAGCTACTTATATTAATTTATTATCTTATTTACATATTTATTTTCTCTTTCCATGTTAGATTACTCACCAAATTGTGATGACTAACGTTCACTTTAGGGATTCTCTATATAGTGCATAATACCTTTCTTGAGTTCGTTCGCACAAGCATTTTATCTCATCGATTGTTTATTTCGTTTGCGGTGACTCTCTCACCCTGGGTACTCTGAATCGGTGAATAAAAACGCTTGAGCCTGGATAAATTCGCTACGCGGATTGCTTAGATTCACTAAGTCAGCAAACGAGAGAAATGCTGATTCTTTCGTTGAGGTATATCAAACAATGGGCCAAATTTCGACGTGATAGCCGATTTCACTCCATTGGAGATCGTTGGCTGCATGGAGTTGGAGGAAGATTGTAGTTGCAGTAGTGTGGGCATTGGCCTCTCTCGAGGAGGTCTACAGAAGTTGAATGTCATCACAGATCTGACATCATTTGGGTTTCTCGCAGCCTTCCTCTTGAAGCCGGGAGAACGTTGGTTGAGCACACTAAAGAGTTGTCAATGCAAACCACAGTCTTCTCATGTAACTTGGTGTGATCATGTGAGACATGTACAGATAGAGCTTAAATGCCGATGTTGAATGTAATAGGTTGCACTGATTTGGCTTTATATGTCGTGTTTTTTTAAAAAAAATTGAAGTGGTGTGAAGCGAGGAGGTTTCTTATCTCAGCTTATTTACATCGTCCACCTCCTTTCTATTGGAATATGATTGAGAAGGGAGATCATACTTCTCTTGGCTTGCTCAAAGGTTCCTTGATGGAGAGAGGAATTATGGACATGAAGTTTGCTTTGGGTACGTGGAAAATGAATGTTCACTTGGTTAATTAGGATTGTGCGCGTATGGAAGACCAATAAGTTAGGATCTGGGATATGGGATATGAATCCTTGGATTTTCTCTCCCAAGTATTAAAACACTACTCAATTTGGTGTACCTCTCTCAAATTGCGGTCAATTGTAGGTCACTCATACTTTTGTGCTGTTCGCAATCGAAATTATTAGTGTTAGCAAGCTTAATGCTGAAACAAGATACGCAATGTGATTGTACTTAAAGTAGGGTCGTAATAATCGGCTGTAAATGGTGCATAACAACACTGAATGGCAGCTTTATCGATTGATTTAATCGGCATTTTGAACTAAAACCAGAATATTTTATCGATAGACTAAAAGGGAATTTCGAAGTCTATAGAGAATATTTTATGGGGTGTGGTGTCAGTAAAAAAACAAAACAAGACAATTTTAATTTGGGTATTTGATGTACTTAAAAAAATTGAAGTAAATAATGGAAGCACAGGATAGAAATAGACCAAATGACTAATTCAGTCCACTACTAATGAATAAACAATGATATGTATGGAATCGTTGAATGTGTTGTGGCAACAAGGGTGGTGTGGGTAAACTAGATGATCGAGTTACATGGGGTGGAGATTGAATTTTGCTGCTGTTGGCAGAAGTGCTGGCTTGGTGAGTGGAGGTTTTATTCTTATTAATATCGTCGGAGAGTCCTTGCGGTGCTTAACAGCATGGATTTTCGACTGGAACTGATTCACAGCAAGGGTTGATTTCTGGGTGTAGGATCAATATCATATTGAGCAAGGACTCTATGAGTACACAGTAGGCCTCATCTGTTAAATTTGGAATAGTGGGGCAAAGTTCGATTTGATCGTTTTGGCATGCGATTCCTGTATCAGTTGTCTCCATACACCCTGCTAACTCCGGACACAAATTTTGTGCCAACTTTGTGATGCAATGGCAAAAATCAGGATCAGGATCTGTGCAACATTCTTGACATTGAGTCTCCTCAGTACATGTCTGTAGGTTGTCTATGAGAATGGCAATCAAGGTCGCCGCCAATTTGTGTAAAGTCAATTTTATTTCACATTCGATATCTTCCGAGCATTGTGTGCTGGCGGGAGGATGTGGGCAAGAGTTGATTTGGTCATTGCAGCATGGACTTGTGTTATTGCATGTTCCCATACACGGTGCTTCCTCAGAGCACAAATTTTGTGCTAAGTTAATGATGCAATCGCAATACTGGGAACACGAGGTAGTACCGCAGTGATTAGGTTCGGGTCTATAGTAATTTTCTGAGCATGAGGCCTCTTCTTCACATAATTCAAGGTATTTTTCGAGGAAAGAACTGAAGCTCTGTGCCAATTTCAGTAGGTATATAATTATTTCGCATACATTATTTTCCAAGCAGTCTGGTTTAGTGGGGGAATTGGGACATGAATTGGTACAATCGTAGGAGCATTGAATTTCGTTGGCGCATGTTTCCTTGCATTCTGTTAACTGAGGACTCAACTGTTGTGCTAACTCTATGATACAAGGGAGATAGTCTGAGCAAGAAGTAGGATTGTAGCAGCAAGGGTTGATTTCATTTTGATCCACTGAACATCGAGTCTCCTCAATATATGCCTGCAAATGGTCCATAAGACTGGAGATCCAAGTCTCCGCCAACTTGTGCAAGGACATTTTTAATTCACATTCGATATTTTCCGAGCAGTTTGGGTTAGTGGGTGATTGCTGGCAAGTGTTGATTTGATCATAACAGCATGGAATTGTGTCAGCACAAGTTTCCGCACATAGTGCTTCCTTAGGACACAAATTTTGGGCCGAATTTGTGGTGCAATCGCAATACTGGGAACACGAGGTGGTACCGCAGTAATTAGGATCGGGATTATAGTGATTACCTGAGCATGGGGTCTCTTCTTCACATGATTCAACGCATTGTTCGAGAATAGAATTTAAATTCTGTCCCAACCTCAGTAGATATACTAATAATTCCAAGTCGACATTTTCGAAGCATTCGTGTTTTGAGTTTGAATGTGCGCACGGTTTGATATGGTCATTAGAGCATGGAATTATGTCAGCACATGCACCCGTGCACATTGGTAACTCCGGGCAACAATTTTGTGCCATATTTGTGTTGCAATCGCAAAAATCAGGAACTGTGTTATATCCTTGACATCGAATCTCCTCAGTACATGTCTGTAGGTTGTCTAAGAAAGTGTTAATCAAGGTCTCCGCCAATTTGTGTAAGGACATTCTTATTTCACATTCGATATCTTCCGAGCATTGTGTGTTGGCGGGAGGATGTGGGCAAGAGTTGATTTGGTCATTGCAGCATGGAATTGTGTCAGCACAAGTCCTCCCGCATAGAGCTACCTCAGGACATAAATTTTGGGCCGAATTTGTGGTGCAATCGCAATACTGGAAACACGAGGTAGTACCACATTGATTAGGATCGGGGTCATAGCAACTTTCTGAGCATGGAGTCTCCTCTTCGCATGATTCAAGGTATTTTTCGAGAACAGAATTAAAGCTCTTTGCCAGCTTGAGTAAGTGAATTTTCATTTCACATTTGATGCTTTCTGAGCAGTCTGGTTTAGTGTGTAGATGTAGACAAGGATTGATTCGATCATCGGGGCATTGAATATTATCACCACATGTCTCCATGCCCATTGCTAAATCAGGTCTCAATTTTTGTGCTAACTTTATGATGCAGTCGCGACATTCGGAGTAGGTGATTGGATCGTAGCGGTTAATATTTCCCTGACATTGAATCTTCTCAGTACAAGCCTCTAGTTGTTCTAGGAAACTGCAAATTAATTTGTCGGCTAACTCTTGCAAGCAACATTTTATATCAATAATCGACATCTCTTTTCCTCTTTTTCTATTGCCTCGATAACTCTTTAGTGTCTTTCATTTTTCATTCTTTTATACTAACATTAATAGTACTCTTGATCGCTTACTGTCACTTGATTCTTATCAACTTGATCTTTACTCCTTTTGCAGGCTCATGTTGCTCATGTTTTTTTATTAAATTTGTGGTAATATCATCAGGCGACGTGGTACATGATATACTTTAACAAAAAAACTCAACGATATGTTTAATATTATTATTATTATTCGCTTTTTCAATATTTTTATAAATTGGAAAAGCTATTCGAGATAGTATTATCCGTCTCCTCTATCTTTGTCGACTGGATAAATTGTTAGCCAATTGTAACTTTTCTCCCATTTTCTGAGACTGATGTCATAAGCTCTGCACTGCAGTGTGAGTGGACATTTTGCCAGCTAGTGACACGGCTAACAGACCCTCTATTGTGGTGTTTTCTCCATCTTCTTGCTATCTTGAGGTAGACGAGTTCGTAGAATTGTGAATGACATGATCTAGTGTAGGTTTCTAATTCTCGCCTGAGGTTCCCTTCTCTCGAGGCATAATTTGAGGTGACAGATAACAGTAGACAGTAGTGAGGGTATCACTGAGACAAATTTATTCTCATGTATGGAGCCATAATTTGCCCAATGATACTGGGTCTTTACATATTTCAATAAAGTAGTAATTAGCCACCTTCTGGGATTATCTTCGCTTCCTGAAAACTGCTCTCAAACATGCACACAGATACAATTTGAAAATGTTTAATTAAAACAAAACGTAGTTGAGGCGATTTATTTTTGCAAAGAAAACTTGTGTTTGAGTGAGAAGTTAGGTAAGTAAAGCACTAAACTCTGGCCATTTCAACGAATTCGTGTGGAGGTGCTGATTTATTGGCTAGGGGAAAATAACTTCCTAATTAACTTTCAAAATGAGAATGATTAAATGATGAATTTCTAATAAGTTATCATTGCCATTTCTTCGATTTCTCAAGTCCTCTGAATAAATTGAACTAGTTTCCTATAATTACGTAGGTCAATTTTATTTTAAGCTTCTTTAATCATTTTCCCTTGGTTTTATTAAATTTCTTTCAACTTGAATAATTTCTTTGAGTTTAGTATGCCAGAGAAGAGAGTATGATAGCAGTTATGTGGAAATGCCAATCTTTATCATGCTCTAATTTGCGTTCTCTGACCAGTTTACTCACTTTCCTCTAACCAATCACATCATTTGATATTATTATTTACCCAATGACGCTTGGTCTAGTATTGTGCGATTCCAGTGCGAAAATGTCGCTTATTGCTTACTAATGGGAATTTCCTATGGCAGCAAACCACGGGTGCCATTTAGTGATGGTATTCGCGGGACATTTTCGAATTAAAGGCCAAGTTGTGTAATTATGAATGGCCATTTGCAGTTCGGCTGTGTCTGAAGGCTCAAACTGCTGTGAAATGAAATGAAGCACAACTCTGTTCGTACAGGTGAACTTTCATGGCCAAGATTAAAAGTAGATCATGTGTTTAAAACACTCTTCTGTACCCCCTCCCCTCTCGATTTTTTTCACTTCGATGTTCCTTCCCCTCAGTGAAACCTGAGTCCAACTTTAGGGCTGCCATTTGAAATCAATAAATTAATGTGCTGTCATAATCGAGAGTCGCACAGGCCTCCTATTGACAAACTCAAGACTAAGCCAAAAATTAGCCTTGAAATGCGGATGGAGTGAAGAAAGCACATATTCCTACTCACCGACTGTCCTGTCAGACCCAACGTTGCTGACTGTTGGTTACACCATCATATGTAGGTTAGTGGCTCCTCTCACCATTCGTTCTAATTGCTTCCTGGTTCCTTATTATCAACGTTCTTTATGCACTTTCGCATCTCTTGCTCTAATTAATGTTTACTTTGGCCACTCTTGTAGACGGTCAAGTAGCGGGAACAGAGTTCCTCCACCTCTCCCTCCTATTGTTAACATCTCTTGAAGTACATTGGTTGTTCGTCTGGAGACATTGTTGTGGTCTGCATTTCCATATGTTATGCTTTGAAAAGCTAAACGAGGAGTCAAATGCCTCCTTGAATCCCTCCCCAACAGTAGGATTATGCGTTGCTTGACCCCAAACTCACTTGGAGTTCAACCTTGGAACTGCAAATTGATGGTCGTTAAGTTCTAGCGTGTTCTCGCTTTTCTCATTTTTTGCCTAAAGTGCATCCAACATTGAAGTGTGCACACATGGCATGGTTCCTGTTTTATCTCAGCTTGCTTCTTGTGTGTGTGTGCGCGTGTGTGTGTACTTATTTTGAAAAGTCCACTGTCTTCTAACCGTCACAGGTTTGCTATTTAATTAATTTACATAACATATCACTTACCTACATTCCATTAATTATATTGTCTCCCTGACTTTGCCTACATTTATACTGGGCAGAAGTTGTTTCTCATTTCATCTAATCGAATCATGTTATTGGTGGAATACTGAAATACACTTCTTTTATTATTCCTGACCATGCTTATACCTCAGCCCCCCCCCCCCCACCCCACCCCCACCCTTTTCCATTTTATTTTATAGAAAAGTGCTTCTGTCTAAATCGCTTGTTTATCTTAACGAAAACCTGCATATAATCAAAATAAACGTAAATGTTCGCCCAGCCAATTGAATGCAAAATTCACCAATGAAACTACTTTAAACGAGGATGATATTTTCCTGTATCTTTACTGCATAATTTAAAAGTTTCTGTTGGCGTCTGAGAATTATTAGGTGCAATTAGTATTGGTGACACCACTCATAGTTCAGGAGGTAGTACACTTGTTGAATATGAGTGGATTTTGACGACTATTAAAAAACCGGATTTAATCCCTATTAGTGTTGAGTGTTTCTTAATTGAAGCTATCTTATGGTGCTCATTCTCAGGCGGTTGGGATGGCAATTAGATATGATTTTCGTTCATTTTACATGGGTAATACGAGTATGACCCTACATCGATTGGTGAACATTATTCTTTTTTTGACGTCATTGTCTCTCAACTGAAGGCTTATCAACAATATAAATTGGGAGTATAAAGTGTAATTAAAGATTCTCTTAGTAATGTGTGTTTATTCTCTTTGATTCTATTGGACAAGTGAGTTCGCGGTAATAGGGTTAGTCAATTCGGAGAAAGTATTGATTGCTTTGCTCCATGAGATTGGGAAATTTGACATCTCTCTTATTCAACTAAGAAAAGAATGTTGTGTTAATTTTTGTGTCAATTTCTCTAAATTCTCTTCACACGAGACAATTCGTTTGGTATTCGATGTCAACATTGAGGAGGACATTATGATTGTGTCGCCTTCTGTAAATCCCCAGATTTCTGGAAATTGAGTACTTTCGATTGTTATGTTTGTGCAACAGTGATCTCGAGATTCGTGCAGCAAATGTTTGTGAAGTACTACCAAAAAATACCATTTTCTATTTTACATTGGCATTGAAACAGCCTTCTCTTTTTTGCAGAAAATCTCGGCAGTCAATTTGGCATCCTTCAATTTGAAGAAGAGTGAGAAGTTCAAACGCCTGTTGGAGTTGATTCTGGCCTTCGGAAACTACATGAATAGTTGTCGTCGTGGTGTGGCCTATGGATTCCGGTTGCAGAGTCTTGAAATTGTAAGTCGACATACGTTTAAAAAGGATTCAATTCATCAAGCTTACCCCGTTTCAATACACACACGGGGCATCATTTCTTCGCTTTCATAGGAGTTTAACCCTTTTGCCTCAATTTTATATGACACTGGGCTTTGGGAGTAATACCTTTTCTTTCACTAAGAAACTCGCGAATTCTTTTGTCATTTGTTTGGAAATTTCGTAGATCTGAATATCATTGAAATACACTTCCTACAAGTTTGGATGGGTTAGTAGGTACTCGAGTGTACTTTATAGTTAGTGAGTTTTCACCTCCGTTGCATGATCTCTCGTGATCTCATTCGTTTCAAAGTCTTCTAATCATCTACACTTTGGTTGTTGAGTCATCATCAAATAATAGGTACTGCAGGATGCGTTTACTGATGCTAACACTTTTGGTTACCCGTGATTGTTAACCAATGCGACTTGTGGTCATTTAAGGGGACAAAGTGTAGTCTCATGACTAATAGACTCTTTGTAATTGTGTTAGACGGCTAATGCAAACTTGACGGCATGAACAGTTTGGTTGATAATGGCCCAGATACAATCATCAAGCTGTTTGGAACACTAACTCTGACCCTGGAATCATTTAGACATGAACAACTTCTGAACATGCCGGCCTTTTGGATAAAAACACAACAATCAACTAATAATCGTATTTGTTATTATTTATTTGTTAAATCGTAGTGAAATTTGCTATTGTATCATTTTACACCTCAGTGCTTTGTGTAACTGGTGAATCATTAGCAGTCTAGATGCTTGTTGATGGGCCTAATTACTTGATTAATTAGCCGTAATTACTAATTGTGCCTTGATGATTGACGACGGTTTTTTCCCCAAGTCCACACATCATCCCAACTTCTAGTATCATAAAATTCAAGCGTACCAAGTGAGATATTGGAACTTCGTTAGGAGTAGTTGAAGACCATCTTTTTGTCGCCCCTCCCTCCCTCCCTCTCTCCTCTCCTCTCCTCTCCTCTCCCTTTGTCTCGACAGGTAGTTAACGACAAAGTGGAACTAGGGGAAAGCAGACACCAGTCAGCCTGGATAGTTACATTTATTTCTGTGTGATGGATACTTAGAACTGGATTAGATATTTACATTAGATCGATAGTGGAGTTAACTTGATTCACTCCAGTCGTGTTACGACTGAATGCTTCTACGTTGTGACAAAATTGGTTTCACGAAAGGCGTTTGCCACTACTATTCTCTTCTCTACTACAAAGATATTGAAAAGTCTCAATCTTATTCCCCACCTCCTTTGTCGCATGAAACTTGTCCGTAGTCATTTTCAGTAGACTTCACTACACCAAATCACACCACCCTGGCCTACCCTTACTTTTCCTCTCACTCTGACTCATCTTTTGTGAATGTCCACCCACTGACCGAGTGATTCTCGGCTGATTCACGCACTGACTAATCGTTCTGTGTCGTGTTTGGCAAACTTCTCTACGTAAGCCGTTTCTTTTGCCTCTTTAGCTACTCGATACGAAAACACCGGACAAGCAGACAACCCTTCTGCACTTCCTTGTGGAGACCGTGGAAGAGAAGTTTCCTGAGTTGGCGAACTTTTACGATGAGTTGGATGGTATTACTGCTGCCTCAAGGGGTGAGTTAATTGATGCGAAAGCAACATAGAGACGGCAATGACTTAAGGTTGTCAATGGTGGCATTTTGAGAATGTTGTTGTGGTGTGGCCAAATTTATGAGGTTGGTTCTCACGTTGCTGAACAGAACTGATAGGTGTGTAAGCTACTTGAAGTGTTATGCAATTTGTGCATCATTGTTAGTGGATTGACTTCATAATCATCATGGTGAGTGTGTCCAAGCTTCAACCTGTGTAGCTTAATACGATCTGTAACACGTAACGTGGTTGTGAGAAGGAGAAGTCTTGATGTACACGTTTTCTTCAAAATGACTAGAAATCACGAGAATGGAAGTTGAGATGGAGTTCGATTGCTAAATGTGTCAATGTTGAGAGCCGCAGTAAACAATTAGAAGCAGATGGTGTCTTTATTTGTGCCAAAAAGTTAGGACAAATTTTGCCCGTCCTTCAACAAAGCAGAACATCGAAAAAAAAGTGTGACAAGACTAGCGCTGGCTTTGTGGTGATTGATCCGCCAGTGTCTCCGAATTTCATCTTCATTTTCAAGGAATAGATGACACCGCGAATCCACACACAATGTCTCCTTTACATGCACTTCTAAGTTGTGGTTGGTGCCCAGTTGTGCAACGACTAAAAGTTTTCGTAGGATTCATCATTCAAATGTGGTTTTCTTCCTCGTCAAACGCCTGTTTATTGGAGAAATGAGCCTATTCGAGGTAGTCTGCACCATGTTATGTCTGAACTAACTTCCATCAGGTATTATAAATCCGATGACATTGGGG